GAGCAGAGTAGAGGGGCAGAATCCCCTCCCTCGACCTGCTGGCCACACTTCTCTGGATACAGCTCAGGATACGGTTGGCTTTCTGGGCTGCCAGCGCACACTGCCGGCTCATGTTCAGTTTTTCATCCACCCACCAGTGCCCCCAGGTCCTGCTCGGCAGGGCTGTTCATCATCCCCTCGTCCCACACCCCCCGTATGACAGGTGTTTTGCATACAGTAATTTTGGCTGTAGGCAGGAGGTGATGCACCAAGCAGCGTGCCGGTAGCCTTCCGCTGGACGCGCACACGCGGGTCATCTGATGAAACGGGCATCAGTGACCCGGTCGGAGCGGAGCGGTCAGGTAAATGACGTGAACGCGGACAAAGTGCCGTCAGTACCAGGTTGCAGCAAGGGAGCGCTGTCAAGACCGGGCGTGTATGACTGTACACGGGCAGCGGAGTGGCACAGACGCTGGAGAGGCAGGCGAGAGGAGGGGGGGGGCTTCCTGTCTCACTGGCTCTGCCAACTACAGACCTACAGGCTATCAAAATAAAAACACCCAAAAAAACCCCCACCACCCCAAAACCTTTGTGCGGTGGTTCTTGTAGCAGCAAACTTGTGATTCCCCCGAGTGTGTGGTTTTTGAGGGAAGTCTTAACACGTGCCTGAAAGAAAAATTCACTAGGAAAAAACTGGGTATTGGAGGCTACGGAGAGAGCAGAAGAAAAGAAAGGACAAGCATTTGGGGATAGTTTCAGGTAAATGTCTGATGGAGCAATTTCCCATGAGACATACACCAGGCTTAAGACACACAGCTGTTCCCTACGCTTGGCTTCCACTGGAACCGGACGGGGCTGGAGAAGGAACCACCCCTTCGGTCCAGAGTGGGCTCCAGCAGCCGAACGATCCCATGACACGGCGTGGCAGGGGATACAAGCGTTTCCCTCACTCTTTTTCTACAGGCAGCATAATTCGTTGCATGAGAAGGCTGGAGGAGTTGCTTCGGCAGATGTGCCAGGCTGCCAAGGCCATTGGAAACACGGAGCTGGAAAACAAGTTTGCGGAGGGTACGTGTGTTGCCTGTGCGCTGCAAGAAGCGGTGCCGGGCAGGGCGTGAAAGTCAAGGTGGGGAGAGGGCAGGGTGTGGGGGGAGCGATGTGGGGGTGGGTACGGTGAACAGCCTCACTGCTGCCCGTCCCGGTAACGGCTGTGTTACGCAGTTGGCGTCACCCAGAGTGCGTCGCCAGGCACGCCCGCTGTTTAACCAAGCTTGCAACAGACACGGGACGTACAGCGACATCCACGTAACACCTTCTCGACTGCCAACCACTGCAGTGGTAACAGCCACCATGTCAGCTGTGACTGCTCCATTAATACGGTTTTCTTTTGGACAGGGATCACAAAAATCAAGAGGGATATCGTGTTTGCTGCAAGCCTCTATCTGTAACCAACGGTGTCTGCTGAAGGCAGGGCTGGAGACGCAGTACAGAACAGGTTCATCAGCGGCACACACACTTCCGTCTCGTCAGTACTTCCTTTAATGGCGTGTATTTGAACCACAGGTGTTTCAGCAAGGCATGTACAAACAGCAGTGTGTGTAATATAGCTGTTACTGTGTTTTCAATAAAAACCCTTTGAGTAACTTTATTTCTTTTAAGCAAGAGCTTGCACCAACAGAAATTGAAGGTTTAGGTACACAATGACCGCAGTAGACGTTACTATATACAGGTGAGGGGAGCATCCAGGCGCAGCAGCAGTCCCTTAAAGGCATTGATTATATTACACCGTCAGACTCGTGACACCGTCCTCCTCGCAGGACAGGCCCTTCTTCACGGTTGGTGGTTGCTGCCGAAGTGGTTCCCATTTGTTGGGGTCTCATGTAGGGTTGTATGGGAATCTTCTTTCGGCTGAAAGGTACATCCCCTCACTTTGAAGAAGTCCGACACGTACACAACCTACGTGAACAAATGAGCATCAAGCCTCTGCACTTGCAACTTTTCAAAACCGTGTTACGTTCCGTGATCTGTTCAAAAACTGTCAGGAAGCCTTAAAACGCTGGCATCCCTTCTTTTAACCCAGCCATTTCCCCCTGGGCCCACCCCACTGACTGCTTGGCCACTGGTGGCTTAGGCCCAGTTCAGGGCTTGTGTGCCCAGCACCTGCTCCAACGGCCCTTCCAGGCACCGCTTCCTTACAGCCGCCACAGCCTGGTCAGCTCTAAACAGGCCCACGTGGTTAATGGTTTCTGTAATTGGTTTAGAGCAGGGCCGGAGAGCTTGTGCTGGAGCTGGGGAAGAAGGTTCGGCTGCAAGGAACTGTCGTCCCCTGGAGCATTGCTCACCTGTGTTTCTCTTCAAACGCTGGTTAAACCAGGCCTGGGTGCCTCTCCCCGGCGAGGCTGACAGCCTCCCTCCCTCCCGGGTACAGTCTCACCCGCAGCTCCAAGGGTACCTGCATCACCCTGTCCTGCACTGAATGCACCGCCCACTCCCTTGGCAGCTCCCAGGCAGGCGTCCAGATCCAGTCCTGCAGCTTGCCCTCCTCCCACTTCACCAGGTCATCCCAAGGAGGAGCCTTCGCACAATCCCCTCCCTTCCCACATCACCTCTTCCCCTCCCACCGCAGACCTACAACTGCAGTGGGACACAGCCTGGGGCACTGGGAGAAACCCTTTTCCACCCTGAGGGCTTCAGCTGCGGGACACGGGAGTTTCAGCTTCCGCTTCCTGCTGGACTCCCATTTTTTTTTGCCGCCCCCACAGGCCCCCACCTCAGCTCTGCTTCGGGCGCCGGGCTCTTCAGTTCTGTCAGACACGGGTTTTGTCCGGGGGGTGGGTACGTGTGCGGTGTTTTTACAGAGAACCTCATCACCTTCCAACGCTGCTCACAGTAACACCACCCTCCACTCGTCCTTGCCTTACCGAGCGTCTCCGCTATCGGCTATCCAACGCCCGTCACTAAACTTGCTCCCCTTGTAGGGACTGAGGAGCTGAGGGGCCTCCTGATGGTTCTCGTTCCCTGCACCGCATTTAGGAAACGCAGCTGCACAGAAATGGGGGGCAGGGTGACACTTCACTCGATGTGCAGCCGCTGAGTGTCAGCTCACGCGATACGTAGGGTCTCCCGGAGCTGCTCTAAGACCTGTTTCGATGACCAAGTGCAGCAGGTAAACGGAGCTTGGTCTTAAAGTCACCCATGCCCCTTTCCAACTTCAGCTGGGAAAGCTTTATCTTGGAGGTGGTCCGTCAGGTGAGCCTCACTCGGTAACCGAACACTTCCCTGCGACCTCAGCTGGCCCGTGTCCCCGAGCCAGGAGTCTCATCTCTCTCTTCCCATGGGCGAACTGGCTACCGTGCTCTGCTGCCACCAACTCAGCCAGGCCCGCAGCTCCAAGCTCATCCGATCCTCTCTTCCTCGGGATCGCCTGTCACTGATCAGTACAGCCGAGTGCCACAGGCTGGGGGGGGGGAGCACCCTCTCAGCACTCCAGATGCACACAAGCCGCCATGAAGGGATCTAGTTTCCCACCAGGATGGGAAAAAGGGCTGCGCAAGCTCACAGACGCAGACAGTTCCGTGCTGTCCTTAGGCCTAAATTCCTTTTTTTGCCCTGCTTACCCTGTACCCCTTTCTCCTCTGCTGCTGTACCCAAGATCTACCACTCGGCTAGACGCCAAGGGCATGGCTGCACAGAGGCCCACGCTGTTGTGCAGCTGACCGTTCCCATCCCGGTTGTTTGAAAAGCTCTCGGGCAGGGACAATGTCATGCTGTCTGACAGCTAAACCAGCCGCTTATCTCATCATTGGCCCAGAGTCTGCCTCGCTCCCCAGAGTGCTGTAGCTACACACAGTTCAAGGAGCAGTTTCCCTCTCCAGCAGTTTTCAAGGCATCAGGAAGACGGGGCTGCTTTCCTCTGCACACAGCCCGCAGTTCGAAGGTGCCGTTCATAAAAGCAGCCCTAACAAGCCCTGTCCCCCCAGGAGTTACTTACAATGAGCACAGCCACCACTGCTCCCTGAATGAGTCCTGTTAAGACATCGCTCCAGTGATGCTTGTAATCGGAAACACGAGACAGGCCCACGTAGATGGATGCAGCGATAAGACCAAACTGCAGAGTAGGACGTACAAGTCTTGCCCAGTCTCCTTTCATTCTGGCCTGAAGGTAAAGCTGAAGGAAAAGAAAAACCGTTCTAAGGTGCAGTAAAAGCAGAAGCAGTAGGTGCATAAAACTGTGCCATGGCGGTTCGAAGAGCTGCACAGAGATCTGCGTTTGGGCACGCGCCCACGTGTGTTCCCAGCGCTGTGCTCTCGCAAGGGCGCCGAGGCGCAGTCTGGCAGGGCTGGCCTTCACGTAAAGCTACACAACACGCCACCAGGCAGCCGTGTACCGACATCACAAGTGACCGTTTTTCAGGGTAAAGGCACTGGGAATACCAGAGCCCCCTAAGGCTCAGAACAAATCCAGTGGAAGTCAAACCCATATTTTACTCCTGCATTAACTACAGGTAGATCTTACACACCAAATAAAAATCTGGCAACCATCCAAATTTACAGTCCTCTGACTAGGGGAAGCCCCTTCTTGCTCTGAGCAGGAAGACCGTCAACGTCTTCGCTGACGAGTCCGTACGCTACACGCAGAGCTGACACGTTCTTTACGCTCCGTTCCAGCCACCTCCAGTATCACCAACTTCAGTGTAACGCTGCAGCGGTCAGAACTGGTGATGCAAGGGTTGATGACACCGGGGACAGCACCTAGGATCACACTCCTCCGTTGTCACGGGTGTATTTCACGGAGCTCCATCTCTCCCTAGTCCTTTTTAGCAGCACATTTCCACTCTGGCAAGCCCATGGATATGTGCAGTTCCCATGGTTTTTCTCTTCCCTCAGCTCTGTTCATGTTGTGTTTGTCTACGTTTTTGACATGTTATCTCAAATTCACAGTATTTGTCACTTTACCATCTGATCCAAGACCCTGCTCTTGCCTCCCTCTGGTCTGTCCAGGACAGAGATCTCTTATTTCAACTCTAAGAGGAGCTTCTCCAAATCCACCTGGTAAACATCACTGAATTTATTCTGGAACCTGATCCTGTCACCAAAAAAAGCCACCACAGTCACCTTATTTAAGGAGAACAACAATAGAGTTGGAAGTTATATTTAACATTCCAAGTATATCTTTTCAGTACCATCGAGGAACTTCAGGTCGAGTACAAACCCTTAATTGACAGTCTTGCCAAATCGTAGAAGCTAACTAAAACATGGCTTCAGGCACTGATCCTGTGGCAAATCTCCCCACAGCCAACCTCAAAAGCCGTGGCTGCCTTTTAGACGCATTACATTTACTGTGTAAACACAGGCACAGAGCACGCACTGTAGGTGCAAAGGTGCCGCTTTCCAAAGTTAAACACTCGGGGAATGTTTGGTTGGTCCCTCTGAGTAACTTAGATCACAGCTTTGGCATGCTGACTTTCAGCTATAAACAGAGCATCAGAAAGATCAACCCTATCCGGAACTGGTTTCCTTTCATCGCAAGGTCAGGGGCAAATCTGACTCTGAAGATGCTACAGCTAAGCCTGAGCTGGGAATGATTTTTTTCCCCCCACCCACCCTCACATGGTGGGCACTGCATGTTTCTGGGGACATGAATTTCACCACTAGTGAAAACACTGTTTATAGCCACTTCAAAAATTAGCTGTCACACAGTTCTTTTAACAACAGGGGTTTCGATGGTCCTACACTACTGGGCTTACCAACAGCAGACCAGAACACTACTCCAGTGCCAGATGAGCAGGGGTGGGTCCAAGGAGCAAGCACATGCTGGTAGCCTGAGAAGAGCTGGCAGATGTTTCAATACTGGCTGGTGTTTCCTCCCCACTAAATTTTGAGACAGCTAAAAATACCTTGCTGTAATAAAGTTTTTCCATGTAAGCATTTCTGGTAGTTGGCAAAGACGTATTAGAAAGAAAAAGGGTTATGCAACTGCAGATAGGTGGGAAACCAGGTTTGCTTCTTCTGAACAGAGGAAGAGAACGGGGGAAGCCACACAAAAAACAAACTCAGAGATGCCAGCCTGCAACACCAAATGACCAATAAAATAGTCTTTGAATCTGCCCCATGCAGCACCTGTTCAGGTTTTCCTTCTGCCTTACAAAGCATCACACAAGAAACTTGGATTTAACACCTACAGGAAGACTTGGGTTTCCATAGGGAGCGTGACCTCCGGCCACAAAGATGTGGAGCTGCTTTGTCGCCTGCAGCGCACGTGCGGTTGGCTGCGGGCTTCGTGAATTCTGGGTGCTTCTTCACACCACCAGCTGCGGAGGAAACGGCCGAAGCGCACCGCGCGCCTCCCACCAGCAGATGGGTTTGCACTGCTCCACAGCGAGGCGCGAGAAGCCACACCACAGATACGTGTCCATGTGTCTGATGGCTGCTTGGGTTTCCTTTCAGA